CCCCCCCCCCCCCCCCCCCATCAGCCAGATATTGCAGTGTCGAAGAGAAGGACTTTTTTCCAATACACCGCCGCTCAAAACACACACCGCACCCAGGGTCCTAACCACAAATACAACCACGCCCCTAAAAAACACTTCTATTGGAAGTACGTTCGCCACGACGTTCACTACGACGTCTGAAGCCTTTCGCTTCCGTTACGTTGTTCGAGCTTCACCCATCACCGTGTTCGTGATCGTTGCTGCTGTGTGTATCGACAGAGTAACGTAGCACGATTTGATCGGACAGTTTGAATTGCGGGACTCTCGGCGTTGCAGATCGCTGAGTAGCCACATATCATCAGAACAGCGAGGAACGTTCTGTAGGAATGTTCTTCGTGGATGGTGCATTGCTCCAAGTGTGTTCTTCGTGAATAGTGCATCAGCCAGAGGATTCATGGTACGTTGTGAAGTACGTTAGCCCCTGTTGAGTCGTTGTGTTCCGACCCGATATTATTGTGTTCCGGTATTGTGTTCTGCTTTCGTGCGTTGGTCGAGCGACGGGTGGTGCTGGTGCTGCGGTGCTCGCCCCACCCTTGCTCACTCTACCTTTTGACCTGCTCTCCTGGTCGAAGGTCTCATCAATACAACAGCCCGTGATGTAAGGGCAGCTCTGAAAGTACGCAATAGTTACAGGGATGAAGCCAGCGAAATGGAGGAAACCTGCAAGGAAATATCGGCCACAGGCGCCAACAACTATAGGTCGCAAACCCGCCACCAACGCGAATGTGCCCGCACTCACAGCGCGCGATACAATAAACTGTTTTCAAGGAACTAGTCCAAAGACGAAGGAAACCCCAGGAGATTCAGCCCCCCCACCTGCCCTCTTGAGAAACACCACACACATATCGGTTCCCAGAAATTCCAACATACTGGATACGTCCGAGGGCGGTTAGCAGCGGGTTCGGGATACTACAGCCTTCCGCTCTTCGCCAGGACGGTTATCGCTGATGTTGGCTCCCATTGCAAGCATTTTGCTAGAATGTCGCCCGCTGGCGTCAGTAAGCCAACTTCTTGATGAAGGCCATCGCGCGCTCTCCCCATTGACGGACAACCTCACGACCCCAGCACCAACGTTGGCATCACGCGTCATTGCCACAGGTTTCTCTCATCCGGCCACGAGCCGCCCAGAGACATGACCCCTTCGACATCCGCCCCCTCATCCATCTGAGATTTCGAGCATTCCGCCGTGCGAAACAGGCACGAGGAAAAGGATCCCACGACGCATGCTTGACGTCCATGCATCGGACTATGACATTACATCCCGTACCCATCCAAAATCAGTTCAGCACGGTAGGATGTCCCAGCAGCGAATCCCAACCCCCAACTATTTGCAGAAACGGCTAGGGCAGGGACGGCCTGGCCGGTGCAACGTGTATGCTAGGGGAATAAACAGTCAGGACCGGCCCCTCGTCCGGCTCGTAGGTGCTTCCTTTCCGGGCAAGGGATGGTCTGACGCGAGCGCTGTCCCTACCGATGCCGGCGCTATTTGACTCTGGCATCGTCGATGATGACGACACGGATGCCCTACTTGGTGCAGGGACCCCTGTCACTGTTGTGGCCTAGGGGTGGGCAGGAGGTTGGTGGAAAGAGCATGAGCGGGAGATTTGTTTCTAGCGCGTCGGAGACGATTTGGTGGTGTATCGCTGACGTGGATAATAGGCGGCGGGATCTGGGAATGAACTTGTTCGGTTGAACGACTCATTCACAGCCGGAGCAGATCCTAACCTCAATGGTCGGGACAATGAAGCAACGGTTATGCCGCCTCGTATTCCGTTCTTGCTACTGTAGGGGGGAAGACTCTTTTCTCATTGAAAGTTCTTTGTCCCTGATCTGATAGGAGAAAAACGGAAGTAATACAGGAATGTATGTATACCTTGGGGTGGAAACGCTCAACGTGGTTGAGCAGGGTGCTCACGTCCCCAAACACCACTCCGCACTGGGGACACTGCTCTCTCGTAGCGGGCCCTGCCGCAGATTTCTCCTCGCCCGCTTCCCATCCACCCAACCCCGGCCCACTGCCGTGCCGGCCTTCTCCTCGCCCCGTCACCGACTGGTTGTGAGAAGGCTTTCTTGTCGGGGTTCCGCCGTTTGCGGGCCTCCCTCCACTCGTATCTCCAAATCGTAGGGCTGATAGGACGGTATTTCTCGGCGAAAACTTGGGGGATTCCGGTCGACCCTGTACAAGCGAGGGTTCGACACAAAACGTCAAGGCTCGCGTCAAAAGGGGGGTCGACGAGATGATGACGCTCGATGGAATGACATGGTCCATCTTTCGCGGTTGATTGAAAAGCAGACGACACAAGGAAATACTCGTGTAAGAGGATTTTGCTGTTCGGGGGTCGTGTGCGGTAAGTTCGACGAGAGGTTGACTTGGAAGGAAACAAAGGTGTGTACAGAAAGAGCTGATTGAGGGACACAAGAATCCATCGCGTCTAAAAGGCTGATGCGCCGACCGTATCATCACTTGGATTGGCCATTACAACGCTCATGAGCTGAAGTCAGGACGGGTGAGAGGGAGTGCAAACGAATGGAACGAATTCTTTCTCTGGAGGGTTGAACTTCATTCCGCCGTGTGACACGACACAAGTAAGGCTGATTTGGCCTAGTTCTGCCGGGTCCGAGGGTTTCAACGCCCTCACATCCCGCTCGAGGATCGACCGGTATTGATGTTCACGATTT